AGATGTGAAAGCAAATACAAATCTATGCAGTATCTCACTATCAGACAGGGTGACCATGTTTGCAAAAGGCTAAAAGCAGAGGAGTGTACCTAAAAGAAATTAAAGAATCCATTCATACCTTATACACTAGAAAAATACCTCCAGATGAGCAGCATCAGCAAAGGAAAGGATCTCCTAGTAGTAATTATTTAAGAGGCTGTCCTATCTAGGGCCTGGATTATTATCCAAATTGCTAAAGAAAACAATATCCTTTGTAAATAGGATACTGGACCACATGGAAATGTGAAACAGTAAGGGATTTCAGAGAAACCTGGACATGTAAGAAAGGGGCTGCTAAAGCCTGGATTGTATGTCAGGCTGATTCTTTCAATGGTAGAAGTATACAAAAATCATTACAAGGTAGGTTTTATAAAAATATCTAAAACAAGAGTGAACATATGAGATATAAAGGGTGACATTCAACTAATTCTACACAAGAAACATCTCCATAGGAGCTACTCACTAGAGGCTTTCTTTAGAGGTAAAAGAGAAGAAATTGGCTCTTTAGATGCTTCTGACCAGCTTGAACTATCTGCATTAAAATGATATAAATTGCACCCTAGGAGCACTAGGAGAAGTTTGGATGCAGTTTGGTCCATGGTGAGTCCTACCACAGGTCTCACTGCAGGAGATGATACAATAGGAGATCAAAAGTCCATCAGTGTAACAGTTAGGTTGATTAGCACTTACAGTAGGAAACAGCTATAAAAAATTAAACTGATATTGCACGTAAGAATATGCTCAAGAAGAGTCTTCCAGATAAACTGTGATGTCTTGGCAAGGACCTTCACACAAGACAAAAAATTGCCAAAAAATTATGCTAGAAGCAAATATTTGTTTGGACTGTATATGATGAATCTAGTCCTCCTGATAGCTTTAAAGGGACTGTTATATTTTGGAAAAGATTTTAGTAAAATTACTATAATTTGCTCCTAAAATTTTGAAGTGAGAGCTGCTGAACAGGATACATGAAGGGCACCCATATGTAGAAATAGTATTTACAGTTCTGAGCTAGGTCTGTATTAAATTGGATTCAAAGGATGTAGAAGAAAAACTCAAAGAATGTACAACATTCAAAAAAGCAAAATTTATCAAACAAAACAGTCTGTGATGTTAATTCAAGAAAGATCTACGTTCTAGCACAGGCATAAATGACTTTTTCTCTCCTGGAAAAAATATACATTGTTTTTGGGATTATTATCCATATTACCCGATAGAGTATGATTAGAAAATATAAATGTTAAACATGTCATCTCCCATAACAAGAACCTTTATTTGCTAGAATAGCATATCAGCCATGACAGTGACGAAAGAGGACTGCCATTTGGTAGTCTGGGGTTTATAGATACCGCAAAACAAACGTGATTTTAAGCACAATACTGCAAGTAGGTGGAATTCAATAGGCTGTGGAAAGTGATCTAAAAATCATTGCAAGGATGATTTTAAAAACTGAGGAAGGAAATTCAGATCCTTATCTGGCATACTTGAATTACAGGGCCACACTGAAGTTCGAACCGCCACCTGCTGAAACGCTGTTCAATAGGAAGCTTAGGCTCAATAGACTTAATTTTCATTGCTAAACATTAATTTTTGCTCTCTTTCTGCTTGCTGTAGATACTACTGCTGTATCTCCCTTGCACACTACAGTTATAGCTGAGAGTTTACTTCAGACTCTTTGCCTCTCTACCTTGATTCCTTGAGGGCACGTGGTCAGTGGTAACTTCCCCTCTTCCCATTCTGCATGGTTTCAGCACTTCTCCTTTCCCTGAGATTTACCCCTTAGCCTTTTTCAGTCAAGCTCAGCCACTAGACCAGCATAGCTGCCTCTAAAAGATAAAACTGGATAGATGATACAGATACAGCAACAGCGAAGTGAGTTAAAGTCTTTGTGATTACAAGACCATAACACAGGGAAAAAATGATTGTAGGTGACATCCTTTGTGTAGGTGACATAAGCTCCGACATCCCAAAGAAAGTAGGCTGCAGTGAAACCAGTGGGTTGGGTAGCATCAATGGAGATAAAAATTCATGAAGTGCTCCGACTGTAGTGGTCATTTCAGATGCTAAGTGAGGGCTGCTGACCTGGGCTTTGATTAACTTGCAGGAGGTGCTTATGCTTTTGGATGGTGCGACAGCAGGACTGCTAGCCTTTCAAAGGCTCATTCGCTCCTGAGGGTCCTTCTTGCAAAGGAAGCTCAAGAGGCTCAGACTATGTCCCCTGCTCAGATTCCCCCTTCAAACCATTTGGGGTAACTTGTGTTCTCCATTCTCACCCTCCCACCCTCTTTTTCCTTTTTTGGCCTCCACGATCTGTTGTTTTTGTAGTGGGTTCTCACATCAAGCTGCAGGGTTTGCAGTGCGGGCTGTGCCGCACACAGCTACCGACCAAGCAACACCTCTTGTCCTTTCGTGCTGACATTTGTTCTATGAGTGACCAAGGCAAAGACTTTTCACTTTTGTGAAACTGCTTTTCTTGTACCCTAGATACATGGGTGGGATCATCTGAACCCCACCTGGAATGGTATTGTTCCAGGGGGAAGGAACACTCTGTGGAGCACTGGTACCCTCTAGTGGTTAAAACACTGGCAGTTTTAGACAAAACATGACACTTTTGCTACTGAGTTATCTGCTGTCCATCTTTTGGACAAAATTTTGCACACCATCTTTATATGATAATGCTGCTCAGCTAAATGCTATTGTAAATTCACACTCTTCTTTTAAGTAGCTGATGATGTAATTTCCTTGGACTGTTTTCGGTGTGTTTCGTCTTTCATTAAATCATTTAACCAAAACTAGTGAGCTGATGGGTGGCCAGATTTTCACATGGTATAAAAAAGTAACTATAATGGAAAGTGTAAGTAGCAATAGCTTAAGCCTTTATGTGCGAACTCAGAGATGGTGTCACTCAACCGGTGCAGGCTGTAATGTGGGAGGTCATAGCTGGTTTATAGCTTATCGAAGGAATCATATTGTTTTGGTAGAGTTTTCCCCAGTTTACCAATGTAGGCACAAGGCAGACGATGAGCTGAGTTGTGGGTTAATGGCGGGCCACTGACTTCCTTAGTGCAAGGTGGGACAGTAAAGTATGGTGACACAGAGTGAGCTTGCGAGGTGGAGGCACATTGCAGAGGGACTGTGAGCGGCTAGGTTATCTGCTAAGTGTCTTGATCGCAGCATGAGTGCATTTGCAAAGAAATGGCAAAAGACACATTTTGGACCTAAAGGCTGTCTCCTACTGCTATGTAACCTTTCCTCCAGAGCATGGCTGGTGAGTGAGAGGGGGGTGAAGCTTGTCGGAGGAGCGCCAGAATTGCTTAGCACATGCAAAATCGTTTGTTTTTGTTTTAATCCTGCTCTAAATGGTTGATCTGAAATTTGCCGGGTAATTTTTCTGGCAGTCTGAACAGCTGCTGTTAGAAAGGCTGCATCAACATAATCCTTTGGGGTTTGCTGTGAGGTATTTCACTGTGATTCGTTTCTTGCACAAAGGGCACTGGCTGAAGCCTTTTGGAGGAAATCCCTCCCCGAAAGGCCGTACAAGCTATCCAGAGCTTGCCTTTCTCCTTTTACCCCAGCTGCAAAAATGTTGCATGTTGTTAGGCCACGCTGCCTTAGCCCTAGATTGCCTCATGCAGGAGAGAAAAAAATCTGCAAGATGGGTTATAAGACACTCGTAGTTGCGCCTCCCTCTCCCACAGTCCTTGCTCTTGCTGCCTCCTCACTGAAGACCATGACTCTGCTTTCTTCATCCAGTTAAACAAACTGAAGATTTATTCAGCAAGATGTGAAGTCAAACTTTAGGTATCAGATTGAAATTCAAAGCAGGTAGTACAAACTAAATGCACTTTGAATTTTTTCTTAACAACAAGATTTTTTTTGTTTTTTTTCCCCCAAGATGATTTCAGTTTCTAATGCCTGACATTTCTTTGATGTATACTAGCTATGAAAGCGTGGATCCAGGGCTTTTATGGAGACAGCCTTCCAGTTTATTCACTAAGGTCTGAAATATTTCCACAACTACCTGCCCCTCTGTTCCTGTGGATTAGATTTTAGAGCACATTAGAATGCCCATTATTTGGGTACACAAAGTACTAGAATATGAGATTTTCCCACTCTGCTTCACAGTGATCACTTTCGAGACTCCTTTGATTTTTCTTTCTTCTTTATGTAAAAAGGATTTTGAATAGCTTGAACCTGGGACTAGTTTTATAAGGCAGATCAAAATGACTTTAGATTAGATTGAATTGGGTTTTCTAGGGATGAGAGTTAAATTTTCTTCAAATCTCTGCGTTTTGGAGCCTCTCAAACATCAGTACTGATGCAGTGATTTATCATGTACTGGGTTTACTGGAAAGCAGAACTTTGCCTTCTCTCTTGTTTCTCTTTCAAGCCTTCTGATCTTTCCATCTGCAAAGAAATAAAAGCAAAAAGAGAAGGAAAGAAGAAAAGCAATGTGATTTTCAAAGGACGGTTTGTGCTGGTGCTGCACTGTTGTATCGAAGAGTTTACTGTTTCTCAGGTTTCAGTCAGTGCCAAGTAGGTCTATTTCACTGTAACCGTGGTGCTATCTTATGAAACCCATGGAACGTCTGATTGGAACAGACCTCCTGAGCAATGCAGTCCTCCGCCATAACATATAATCCCTTACCAAAATGCAATATTGTCCACTTCCTTCCTGAAGAGTGCAATCAAGCTAATTAATGAATGTCTGTCCTGGGACCATGCTGATTTAAGGTTTTTCTAAGTCCCTCTCTCCTTCCCTCGCCCCATGCAAACTTGATGGCATGTCCAAAGGAGGTCTTGACCACTTGACAACTATTTGTGACCCTCAAGCTCTCCCTTGATTTTGATGAATTCCACCCCTACTGCTCATTGGCAGTAAGGAGCCATCTCATGAAGGCCTCTGCCTAGGTTGTTATAGGCAGTATCTCTGGCACAAGTACAGAGAGCGGTAACAACACTCTGGTTTCTCCTTCTTGTTTCATTCCAGGTTTCTGATTGTCTTGGGGTGTCTGATCTTAGCTGTCCTAACAACTTTCAAGGAGTATGAAACTGTTTCGGGAGACTGGCTCCTCTTGCTGGTAAGCAGATTGTGACAACCCTGGTAATGTCCTTGAGTTGAAATCAGCCCCATTAGCAGTGATAGAAACTTTCCCCCAGGTCTGCATGCAAAAAGATTTCTTCTGTTGGTCCTGGGACAGTGACTGTACCTTTAGATATTGGTGAGTTCCCTGTCCACTGTCAGCACTGACTAAGGAGGAAGTTTGGAGTGGAGGAGAACACCAGCATGAGAGTTTTAAATCATGGCTTTTCAGTATTTGCCTAATGGTTCTGCCGTTGATGTATCAATAAAAGTCCCGTTGACCAGGCCAGAACCGAGCACTTTCAAAAACTCAACTTTTTGGAGTCTCTCAACAATTCATTCTGTAATATTCTGCCAATCCCAGCATTTCTTTCAAGGGATGCCACCGAACCGGACTTCCACTTGTGTCTGACAGCAGAATATCTGTAACTGTTGCAGGCGGTGACTCAGACAACTATACTTGAAAGAGTTTAGAGAAAACATATTTCTTTCTCTGTGTTTCCAGCTTATTTTATAAATGTTGGAGTCTGTGCTTGAGACTATATTTGTATAGGCCTCCTATATGGCAGAAGAAAAGAAAAATAGGAAAAAAAAACACTAAGTAAAAACATATTAATAATTTTGTGATCATGAACCTAATAAAGCACATCCTCTGCTCCCCTAACTATCATGCAATAGAGAGAGCTGCCTCCCACTTAGGTGGCCCTGTAGAGAAACATACCTAGGGAAATTACACCGCAGCAGCAGATCTGGGATCCCACTTTCCATTTCCCTTTGTACCTCCAGGGACATGTAGATCCATGCAAGAATTAAATGCCAAGTGGCATGTAAGGTGATTTTCCCTTGCGTGTTCTCTCTCAGGAAGCACCTATATGGAAACACCTTTATATACACATGTGAGAAAGTCCAAAGTTATTTTTTTCCTTCTCCCGTGCCTGCTTTCACACAGCTCCCAGTATTTTTCAAGAGTGCTCAGCAGCTGCTGATATGAACATCAGGGAAAATCCCCCTTTCTTCCTCATCAACCATTAACGGAAAGGAAATGCAATGCAACTGCTTGCCCCAAGCTGCCCTCAGCCCATCTCCACTGAGCCCCTGGGAGAATCCCCCCGATCCTGTTTCCTCCCCACACTTAGGAGAGCTGGAAAATCCCGATATGTTGAGCACTGTGGAAAATCCTGTTCTTCCTTGCACCAGAAACAGCAGGGGATAATCTATGCTGCAGTTAATTATTCTCTTAAATACGACCATATGAACACACACTGTCTTCTGTCCCTGTCTCTCTAGACGTGGCTGCGTGAACAAGCTGCTGATAGGTAACGTAGGCTGTGGGCATGCAGTGCCCCAGGGACTTTGCAGTCACCCCTCACATACATGTTTTTGCTTCATGTGAAATGGGAGGATGTTTTGTGAGCTAAATGCCCTTCCATGAAGGCTAGGTGAGCACAGCACATTTGCTCAATGGCGGGCCAAGTGCTTGGGCAGTTTTTGCAGAGTACTTAGCAGGCTGTAAAGCTATGTCCTTGCCTTGCAGTGTCTTTCATGAAACTATATTTTCTTCCCTATTCTTTTCCTCTTTCTCTCACACACATACATGCGTGCACACAAATACGTGCACCTCATCTGTTTGTTTCAGCAACCTCTGTGTGTCCGGAGTTGCTCCAAACTTGTTACATGTCTAACGATCTAGTTTGTGTCTTTGCTACAGGAAACTTTTGCCATTTTCATCTTTGGAGCAGAGTTTGCCTTAAGGATCTGGGCTGCTGGGTGTTGCTGTCGCTACAAAGGATGGAGGGGGAGACTGAAATTTGCCAGGAAGCCTTTGTGCATGTTGGGTAGGCACACATTCTTTATTACTGTTTTCCATATGTGTGTTCTTTTTGTTCTGAGCCAGCACGAGGAGATGTCCAAGAACCAATGAGTGGCAGTGCAAAGAGCACTGAAATCAGCTCTGCCCTTTGTGTTGGGAGTTGTGTCCTGCTGGGAATATTTATTTAAAGTGCCTGGCAATAATGATTCATTCGAGAGTCTCTTGGATGGCTGGTCAGTGAGACAAAGCTGGATCCTTGCTTCAGTACCCTCTCAGCTGGGGCCCTTGGGATCACAACAGCGTTAATCCCATGGAGGTTCTGGTTAGCAATGTGTCGGGTTTTTGTGTCTGCTGATGTGCCCTGACATTGAGCTGAGCCCCACCAGTCAGTGCCTCACTGCCAGCCTACACCCAAGTCTTGCAGATTCCTTTTCGTAACTAACCTCTGTGAGATGCTACCCTTCATATCCATCCGCGCAGCAAAAACTCTTGTCACAGTGCTCACCACTTTGTCATACCTTGCTCTTCTCTGGAGTGAACAACTGCCTCCTGATTTCGTTGAGTATCATGCTTCAAATACATTTTCATTGCCCTGAGACCCTCTGCATTTTTCTTAGGTTCATCCGGAAATATATGCTGGCTGCCTTTGCTTTCCAGCCCTTCAGATCTCAACCCTATGCCATCGTCCCCTGGCCCTCCTTCCTCTTTCATATTCAAATGTTGCGTTTTAGCTCCATACTTTTGCAACAAAGGACTTTGCGATTTCTCTAAGCCTCCAGGCTTAGAAAGCACTGCCTATGCATATCCGTAAAACTACTCCTTACCCATTTTTTGAATGCTCATAAAACTCCCCTTTATGTCCACAAAACAACTAGCCGACATTTAGGAGCTCGGTCTAGCCTCAGTACCTGTCACACACATCTGCATTTATTCACTATTTCTAGGACTCCCTCATTTATTTGAATTCTCTTTGAGTCAACAATTAGCTTTTTGTTCGGTATTTGTGAAGCATATAGCACCTTGAGGATCCTTATAGATATGCATAGCACCTTCTTCCCTCTCCCTCCTTGTATTCATTTTATATGCGTAGAGGGTAAACTAAACTGGAACAAATTATCTTTGTGTATTTGTGCTGGTGATACTCCTTTGGCTGCTGCTGTGGGATGAATAAGAAGCGTTCTTATACTTCCAACAGCATTGTGAGGGCAGTGTAGCTATGTGTAAGCAAGTGGGATTTATACTGTCTCATGCCTTATCAGTAAAAGTGTCGTCTCATTTCTGAGAATGAGTCTTTATTGATATCTGATTAAAGAACAGAAAAGACCCTGTTGGATTTATTAACATAATCTCTTGTAGGTTTATAAGTGGCATAAATTTATTTTGAGCATGACTGAAAACTGAATGAATCTGAAACCCATCTGGTGCCACTCGTTTTGGCTGGAAACACAATATAAAGACAATTTAAAGACTGAGAGCCCAGAAAATGTTTGCAGTCTTTTGGTGCCACTTTTAATTGTATATGTATGGGATCAAAAAGGAGAGGGGGAGCTAAAAAGGGGGGAGGGAGAAAAGAAAATAAACAAGAAGAAGCAGCAATGTGATCAGCATTTCTGACCTCTTCTACAGCTGACCAGTGAATTGACACGGTGGACGTTCACAAATAATGGTAGGACTGGCTTTAAGATTTTGACAGGGGAAGCCAGCCAAAAGGACAAAATACTAGATGCACCACTGAATACTGAGTTTCTTGTCTGCTGATCTATAAGTCTGGGTGTGCTCTGAGCTGCCTGTGGGACATGTGGATTTAGGGTTGCTTTTCTGTCTGCATTTTCCTAGGATACTACTTCTTTGCATTTGTATGCTAGCTCAGTTGGTGTCTCAAGTCCAGTGCATCGATCTGTAAATTGATTACCAGGCACTCTGGTGAATTCTGTGCAGGACTCCGACCATGCTACACGTGCCAGTATCTGTTTAATTGGCCAGAGAAGGCTTTTTCGGACAGTTTTAAAATTTGCCTAGGGAAATTTTCCTCACAAGCAGATGGGATTAAGAAGCAGGTGATGTGGACACTTTTCTTGGCAGGCTTTGTTCTTCTTTTTGCCCTGCAGATATCTTCGTGCTGATTGCTTCCGTGCCAGTGGTTGCTGTTGGGAACCAGGGCAATGTTCTGGCCACGTCTCTCAGAAGCCTCCGCTTCCTGCAGATCCTACGGATGCTCCGAATGGACAGACGGGGTGGCACGTGGAAACTTTTGGGATCAGCCATTTGTGCACATAGTAAAGTAAGTGAGGAGCTTGTGGGACTAAGCTGGGGATCAGGAGGGGAGAGGTGGATGGGGAAGAGAAGGGCTGGACAGGAATCCCTTGGGATTAAGCCTCAGGGTTCAAGGAAGAGTTTAGTCCTTTCAGGTCTCTTTCCTCCTTCCTACTCTTAACCAATGCTCTCCCTTGGTTTACCCTTCTCTATTCAATGGAGGTGTTGGGAAGTGAAAAGAGCAAGTGTTCAACCCCACACTGGAATTTTGCCTTCACGTAGAATGAGAGCAGGAAGATCCCTTTAAAGGTAAAGTATGATGAGTCTTTGACAGAAACACCAGAAACACCTCCATAATTGCTACACCTTTGTAGTGACTTCTCAGGCTTGTTTAATCAACAGATGGAGCAGGACTCCAGAGGAAAGAGGCTGAGCAGAAGTGTGGTTTCAGAGGGAGCTACTACTATAATTTCTCTTTGAAAGTATAGGTCAGGCAATACAAAGAGGCATGCAGTGTGCGATCCAGACAGATAAAATTTCTAAAATTGTCTCTATTCAGTCTAACTTGATGCTGTAGTCAGACACAGCCTGTCTCACACCAGACAGATATGTTGTGCTCTTGCATTTTCACCAAACACTATTGCATGTTAAAAGATATCTACATAAAAAGATTCTAAACGAGATTCTCGTCTTCACTGGGAGTATAAAAATTGCATATAAACTCTGTTACATACTGCTTTTTCTGATCCGTGAATGACATTCCTGACATTTTAGGGATTTTTTGAAAATTAAAATGCCAGCTGGCACAGCATAATTAGGCTTTGCTTCTGTGTAGCGTCTGATAGGGATACCCACTCTGCTTCATTTCATACCAACTTCTGCTTCTACCCCATACAAACTTGCTACAAGGCGGGTGGCACATAAACACTTATGTCAAAAATATGTCTTAGGAAACTGAGATCATGGAAGAAGCACGTGTGCCAAAGACATTGTTAAGAAAGTATTTAAATCTTCATAGTCTGGGATTTTTTTTTTAAATTTCCTCATTTGATTCCCCACCATGACGCTTTGGACCTCAGCTGGCTGAGAGAGATAAGAAGGTGTTGTGACAACTTTGCTGCACTAGGAGACACTAAGGAAACAATTCTGATAACAAGGTTAACTCACAATTTTCATATGTCAGTTGCATACCAGAAATTAGCTAAGAAAATGGACTTATCTCAAGGCTCAATTATAAAATTCTCAACTACAACCTACCTTCTGGCAAATGCATTTCTCAGAAAAGAAAAGGAAGTGGAATATTGTCTCCTGATCTACCTGTGAAGACCTTCACCAAAAAAAATCTCTGCTCTAATTCAAATACTGTTAGGATTTTAACCTGGATCGAAGCATCTCCCACGTCAGTGGGACTAGCCACACGCTCCACTGCAGTCACTCACTCTCACACAAGGAAGCTCAGGTTTTGATCTTAGAATTTTTGTTTTTAAATATCATTATTTTTCAGTGTCTGTTCTTATTTCATGAGTGCATGGCGAAAACTTACTTCAAGAACTGCTCTGATATGGCTAACATGAAGAAACTCCTTCCCACAGCCTTGGTTCTCTGGAGGTAGGGAGATGGCAGAGTTGTTGATTTACCTGCAACGACTGCCCCGGTCTGGGGGCAGCAGGAACAGGGGAACAACTATTAAAGGCAACCGGGAGAATCAAGGTCAACAACAGAGCCGAGGGAGAGACTGCACCATGGTGTAGCTAAGGCCTTAACCCAGCTTTATGCAGAACTGCAGTTGTGGATTGCTCCAAGCTTTTCCCAAGGAAGCTGCCATGTAAGGGCTAATTCTTATATATCTCTGAATTATTTCTCATTAAGTACTGATCTGGGTTGATCATGGACTGTGACCAAGCCAGCAGTGACAGTTCTGCTGTTATCCTCAATGTTTCTCTCCTCTCTTGACGTTTATTCTGACACAGTGGATAATGAGGCTGTTTTCAGCTCCTCCATTGTCCATCTGTTTCTTTTCTAGGAACTGATCACTGCTTGGTACATTGGGTTCCTGACGCTCATCTTATCCTCGTTTCTTGTTTATCTGGTTGAAAAAGATGTGCCTGAAAAGGATGCTAATGGGGTGGAGATGAAAGAAGAGTTTGAAACCTATGCAGATGCACTGTGGTGGGGGCTGGTAAGTCACTCCAGAAATGTGGTTTGTGGCACTGTTCATTTGATCACAAAAGATTCCAGTCAATTGATATACAAAATTCATGTTGCTTTACTATCAATAGTTATGGTAATGTCTGCATTGTGCTGTGACTACAGTTCAGCAGTGTATATTTTATGTCGTATAATTCATTCATTAATGGAAAGATGTGTTCTTCCATTATTAATTAAAAAGTCCCAAGTTTTGCACAGAGAAATGAGATAAGTTTATATTCTTATCTAGAAGAGTGAGTAGTAAGAAATTCAGGTAGAGTCTTGCTGGAGAAAAAAGGGAAATGATTAAAAAAAAAAAAAAAAAAAAAAAAAAAAAAAAAAAAAAAAAAAAAAAAAGGGTCAGCCATTTGGCAGAAAGACAGTTTTCACACAGTCATCTTTGTTTAACAGAGTCGCACTTCAGGGAGAGGTAGGCCTAACTGGTTGTTCAAGCTCTGCAGACTGTTAATTGGAGAGTCCCATCTTAGCTGTGCATTAACTGGGGGCAGGACACTGGCTCCATGTGCCACATCAGTTCCTTTTCAATAAATACACCCCAGATAGGTAGGTATTTTCAGACAAAATCCATTCTCCTGGGTGCCATACCTCTGGACTGTGTTGCTGTCCTGATGTCAAGATCCTTTTTTAAGAAGTTGTGCCTGAGCCCCTGTACATCCTAGTGGGTTATGCAAATGTGACAATGCAGTTTAAAGCAGGGCTGTTTGCTCTGTTTTTCTTATGGAAAGGCCTGGTCTTTCTGCCTGCAGATTACTCTGGCTACGATTGGGTACGGCGACAAGACCCCCAAGACATGGGAGGGACGGCTGATTGCAGCTACCTTCTCTCTCATTGGAGTGTCATTCTTTGCTCTTCCTGCTGTAAGTACCTTCCTCCTCCTCACTTCACCCAGAGCTAACCCAGGCCTACGGGAGGTAAAGGAGAGGATTTGTACAGGTTCTTTTACAAATATGATGTAGAAGTGGATGAAATTTTTCAAAAAGAAGGTGGAGTGATCAAAACTCCCATGGGATCTAAATCCCGTTTTAAGAAGGGATTAAGATGCTTAAGATACTTAAGTTTGTCCGCATCAGGACATAACATAGGCCATGTTCTGTGCCCTGGAGGCAAGTGGCTTATTGCTGTCAAACTTCCTTTTCCCCAGGGCAACCTTGCATAGAGCCTATTGGGAATAATATGGCACCCGGATATTCTCTGAACCATATGTGGGCATTATCTGACACGGTGCTAGTTGGCACAGGTCTATTTGGAAAAGGGCATGCGTGGCATTACACAGAGATCCCGTATAGCTGTCTCCATGTCCGCTCTACAGAACCACTTCCTCCCGTTCTCATTACTCTGCTTTTCCTAAGTGAGAAATCCCTAAAGTCTTGAATCTCTCTATGCTTTCAGGGCATTCTGGGTTCAGGGCTGGCACTGAAGGTCCAGGAGCAACATCGCCAGAAACATTTTGAGAAAAGAAGAAAGCCAGCAGCTGAACTTATTCAGGTTTGAAGTCTCCACTGTTGGAAAAAGTGCCGTTTGTGAAAATTGCTATATCCCCCCTGCCCAAATTCTTATTTCCCATTGCAGGAGGTGAGAAGTTGTGCTTAGAAAAGAGTCAGTTTTTTCACATCAAAGCTAGATAAACGAGTGGTCCTTTCAGTTTTTGAGGAATCTTTGAATTTCCAGAACATCTTTTAGAAGAAAGGTGTCTTTAGAAGAAAGGCACTCATCTGCTAGCTTCTGGAAATCAACCAACTTCTACATCAGCACCACAAAATCGCAGAAAACAAGCTGTCGAAAACATATTCTTTCCAAAATCCAGGTTTTGCCAGCTCCCTTGAGAGAGTGTTTTATGTGCAAACAAATATATGTTGTTAGTGATGTGAAAACAGCACTGGAAGTAACACAGCAGACACGACTATTTCTGTCTAGGCATACTGCATAAATAGTATATTTGGTTTGTAAAACTGAAAAAAGCCCTGGATCTTCCATTATCTCATTGGAAGATCTTGCAAGGCAATAGGAAGAGTGTCCTTAGCTCGCTTGGACTTCACTTCTGGCCTTTGTTACTAGTTTAGAAAAGTGAGCGTAAAATGGCTAGTCTGAGGGCTGATGAATTTGACAAGATTTACTCTATGTAGGTATGGAGTGGAGCACGCCCTGAGGGAAGCAAAGTCAGCAGCAGCATTTTCCCAGGGGGACAGAGAACCTTTCTGTGATATCAGATGGAAGCGCTGGTGCTCGGGACTACCCAGTCGGGTCAAACCAGTCCTCTGGAGAAACAGGCCAAATGACATATTGCACTAATCATTGGAAGTGCTCCCTGGTAAACAGAAGTGCTGCAGGAGTGAGTGGTGAATTGAATTCACCTTTTAAATTAAAGCATCTCTGCTTAGCAAGTAGATAATTTAGCCACAATATTGTTAGCTATGTGCTTAGAGAATTTTGAGAGGAGCTAAATGCTGTACTATAAAATTATTCAGCAAAATTTCCCCCATGGCATATTACACAATAAACTAGATCAAGCACTTGCAGAAATATCGGATAAGTCAAGCAGTGCTTGAAACTCTTTCAGACATAGCAGACAGGAGAATAAAACCATATTAGTCCAATCTAACATCTTGTTGGTGTGGGCAGTTCTGCCTCATGTCCTGTCTCCTTTAACAGTCCACCCGGATTATAATCCAATGTCAATGATTGCACCATTTAGTGACACTCATTTGGAATAGCTGATTAGTAATTCATTTCCAGATAGTCACTCACGTGCATGGTTAGGTTGTTTGAAAGAATCTGTCTGCTTTCAGTCCAGTTTTATCTAACAATAATTATTCCCTCTCCCTTGTGATGCAGGCTGCCTGGAGATACTATGCTACTAACCCCAACAGGATTGATCTAGTTGCTACCTGGAGGTTTTATGAATCAATTGTATCATTTCCATTTTTCAGGTAAGTGCATTGTCCACTTCTCCATCATCTTCTATGTAGTATAAATCAGGACAAGAAATATGGAATTTATATATATATGAATGAGGCTTTTGTAGGTAATGGGCAATTGCCAACATCAATCACAATAAGGTAGGATTTTTTAAAAGGACTTCTGCTCTAGAGGTCCAGACCAATTTTCTGGACTGCCTGGTTTGAAAAAACCTACGTGAAACAGAAAACTGAAGAGATTTTGTTTAGGGTCTGATAGGAGCACTGAGCGGGAAGGTAGTTGGCCAGAACGACTCACAAGTCTTATATCCATCTTCAGATGAAAATATGTTGTGTGATATAGTATGGGTGGGTGCATATGGTAGGGGTTGTGGAGGGCCTGCCTGCAGGCCCATGATAGATATTTTCTGGTATCTCATCCCACTTCTTTCATTTGTTGACGGGGTGGGACTTTTTTCTTTCTTCTCCCTTCTTCCTGACTGAAAATGAAAAACATCCTTTTGGCTTTTGGATATATTTCTTCTCCCTTCCCCCAGTGGGATGTGTCAGAGCAGATGGATAAGCCTTTGGTGGCACTAATTTTAGCACTGAGCAAAGGAAAAGAAGAACAGTTTGCATCATCCTTAGCTTCCCTTTGTAAGACTGGAGTTTATTCCCCTGGAAATCCCACTTTCTCCCTCAAATCTGGATCTCCAGAATGTTTGAATCCTGGGTTTTATAGGTGCCTGTGTTTCTCATGCCCTCCATGATATTTTATATTTTATGTGCTATGCTCCTTCTCCAACCTGACTGACTTGAGAATTGTGTTGTCGCAGAGGTGGCCGTGGCATGAGAACATAAGGAAACATAACTGCATTAATGCTAGTCTTTTGGCAGTACCAACTGTTCAGAGGAACCATTCAGGGGAGGACAGCCAAACCACATTTAAAACTGTCTCCCACTGAAGCTAGTACTGGAAGGTCCACAAGACAACTTTTTTGGGGGGCCAGGGTCATGGGGTTTCATACTCCTATTTTATTTTGCATCCTCCTGAGTTCAGTATAGAACATTCAAAATGTAAAGGCATTCAGACTTAATGGATGCTTATATGTTTATGGAAATAAGTCTGTTTGATCACACTTTTCTTGCCTGTCCAACAGGCCTCCCTTGGAAAACTTCCTCACCTTGAGGACTTTACATTGAAAAAAGACCCTGTGAAAGACAAGGCTTTTAGCTATAGAGTTTCAACTGCTAATAATGGGCATTACTTAACCCAGGACATGTTTTAAACTTCCATTTTGGGTTTGTTGTTATGTTTGGTTCTAAGAACACTGCTCTCAATACCACTCAGCTCAAAGAGAGGTCTACATGTGTGAGTTGTGTTCATTGTGCTTATAACGCAGCTCCACCTGTTGCTTACAACTACCGTGAAGGACCATGCACATTTCAGCCTCCTGCCTTCACAAAAGGCAAATTGCAGATCCAAATTACTCGTTCTTTGTTTTATTCACAATACGTTTCTCTAGGACTAATCTCTTGTAGGTCACCAAGCCAATCTCCTCCCATGGAGCGATGTTTAGTTAAGGCTCAGTACATTTTTTTTTTCCTTTTCTTCATCCTCTCTTATTCTCTATCTATTCCCACATTATCTATAATAGAGTCATTTATAGAGGGTGTCTTGATCTCAGGTTTTGTTCATAGAATAATTCTGAGGCTCACTTAAGAGTCTAGGTGCATTACTGTGATTTCAAGCTTGTTTATTGTGTGCACGTTCTCCTGTGATTTAAACGACACCTGAAATTTAACAAGTGCTTTGCAAATAATGTCCTGGGAGACAGGCAAGGGAGTTAACTTCTCACTGAAGACTAGATTGATAGTCTAAGTAGCATAGATTGGTTTCAGGAACCTGTACCACTCTTTTGCTTTATGACTAGTTTGAAATGCAGTGTCAGAACTTTTATTCTGTTCTCAGTTATTGTCACAAAACAGAAAAGGTATGAACCATTAGCAGTGGGTTAGCAATTTCAGTAAAAGGGAATCTATTGAATTTATTCTGTAATTCTTCTCTCCTTGCTTTCTTATAATGCTTCCTCTCTTCTATAAAAGGAAAGAGCAATTGGATGGTACTGCCAGGTATGTAGCTGTCATTATAGCCTTGTTTTAATACAGTTATTGAAGAATGCAGGTTAAATGGTTCTTTATGAATTCATGAGCTGTTAACCAAAACATGCTACTAACATCAAAGATAGTCATTAAGAGTGATTAACCAATCCGTTTCCTAATTGCTTGCTTTTTTTTCCTTATTTAACAGCAGAGCTAAAATGCTAATTGTACAAATGCAAGGGGTTGCTTGCTGATTGTCTGTAAACAGCTTTATTGTTAGTTATGATTAGCAATGCTCCACACAGCTTTCTCCTAGCCTATGCGATAGATCCAGGGCTTAGCACCTAGGTTATTCTGGGCTGAATTTAATATTCTGCCTCATTTTGCTGTTCAACAGTCCTGCCCCGAGCAATGTTGTGGTCAGGGGACAGGCCTGGGTTCCAATCCTTAGCCTAAAGACAAGTTTTCTGGTTTTGTTCGTTTGTTTTCAACTGTTTTATGCAACACATGACACCTTCAGCAGAGATAATTGAAAAAGAAAAAAGCAGACTCACCCTTGATGGTTAAGATGTTCTCCTATAAATGATGTGTGTTCAAATCTCCTTTAATAGAAAAGAGAAACCTTGCCTTAGTTTCCTCACAATATAGGTGAGTGCTGTAGCGCAGCTATTGGGAAAAAGGCAATTACCCCTCCTGCCATCAACATCATGAGCTAACATGCCTCTCTTCAAAGACTGCCTGGATAGGAGCTACCTAGTTTGCGGATTCTCCTGAACCTTAAGCATATCCATGGCACTGTCGAGGCTTAAGCAGTCGTGAGCTGCATTCATGTAGATGTCTGGAGATTTTAGGCACCTCCAGGGTTGGTGGCAGTTGAATTTTGGCCTTTGACACGTAAGAGAGAACTTAGGTGCTTAAATACTTTTGAGATGTAACTCCACACCTTGAGCCAGCTGGGTTCTGAGGCATGTACAGCAGGGTATTAAAATCAGGCAACTGAGTAGTTACTGCCGTTTGCCATGTCACAGCTCTCCTAGAGGACTTCCTGCACCTGGAATGACTGAGCTGTTCATGAACCAGCTTCTGAATTTCTGTAACTTTCAACCTAGTAGGAGAAGTCATTTTACACTGATGCATAGGTTAAAAACTGAAAAAATATGACTCAGAGCCCAGAATCTTTGAAAACATAATCCCAAAACCTCTTATTCAAGCAGCCTGTATTGTGCTTTTATTTTGTCACATAAATAATAACCCGCAGCAAAATCATCAGTAATCCTGCAGTGGAGCCTTCCTGTTGGCAGAAATGTGTTTATGGATATAAACATTCAGTAAAAGGATTGAAAACCCTCCAGGTAGACAGACAAATGGTGGTACTTTTGGGAACATCCACTGACTTCAGTAGACACGGGATTGAGCCCTAAAATCTGGTTATTTTGACAGTCCTGCCTCCCATCTTTAATAAAACTCTTATTTATAGATCAGATAATTACGAAAGAAAAAAAAAAAAAGATTTAATCCTCTTCCTACAGTGACTTAATATAGAAAGCATTACTCGCACTCCACTGCAGTTTTCCTTTAGGGCTGTATTGAAATAAATGAGCAATAAGGGAATGCTGTCCTAGTGGAGAGAACAGTGCATAAGTGCACTCAGTCTCCAGACTTTCACATCAATGAAGTACCTAATGGGAAAGTTATACTAATACAGTGTGTTGTTTGAACAGCGATTGATAAAGGAGAGTGAATAATTATTCCAAAGCTTTCACAGAGGAGCTGGAAAATATGACCAGTTAACAAACTGAAAATAAGGTCTAACTGTATGAAAACTTGAGGTGGATAGTGCTTTAAGTGGCAGATATCAGAGTTTCAGTAGTGTAGTGAGAAAGCTGGATAGGCTCTCTGTGGTTTTGGAATTAAACTCTCTGTTAGATCATTTGGACCTTGGAATCAAGACCTAGTAATGGGACAAAATCACAGCTAGATTCAGCTCTTTGTTCTTAGGCCATTTAGGGAAGACACAAGGAAGACAACAGATTGGAAAAGTCCATTTAAGTTGTTGTTATCTCAGAGCAAGGCTATATGGAAGAAAATGGTGGTAGAAAGCTGATTTAAGGTTTACAGCAGCCTGAAATTTTACTGAAGCTCCCTTTCCTTTAAACTAAAACTGTGAAGACGTGAGATGTGATGAAGAGCACATCAGATTAGTTTTGTGTCAGGCAGTAGGCTGAGTCATGTGAAAACTGAAGGAGTGTGGTGCACATGATACTGCCTCCGTTATGTGCCACGTACAGGTCCCCAAACCAGGAGGAACTGGGGTTGTGCTTTCCATGGCTCACTAGACTAGTGGGGCTCTTACTGACTTCAGGGCATAGGTGCTACTAGCTTTTTCTTACGTAATTGATGCTATACACTACCAGCACATGAAATCTCAGATAGCAATAGCACCTGCAGGGAGAAAGGAGGATTTCCTGTTCGCACTTGATTTGAAGGTCCTTGTGCTGTTGCTCGTCTGCAGGCGTTGTAAAGCCTTTCCATGTGGTTAGCTCCCAAGAAAGGATTTATGAAAAAGGTACATTAACGTTCATTGGAGCGATTTTGACATTTGGCAAATATTTGGTGCCTGACTTGCATTTCCTAACTCCTTGAGGATGGGTCTTGGCTTGAAGGACATGCAGTTTATTCTGAAACAACTTTTTTAACTTTTTATATCTCTATCTGAGGAAGGAACTGTGGGCCTAATTTTCCAGCACTGCTTTTAGCATTAGTTCCATTGATTTTGACTAGCGCGTGAATTTTCAGCCATCTGTATGTACAGGCATTTTAATTAAGGGTTTTGAACTTTCTATTAGGGCCTTGCACCTGATCAGACTTTTAAATTCTGCACAAAGCACTGTCCAGCTGTAGAACTAGACATTAGGATAGCATGTTGAGTCCTAGATCTATTGTTATGCGAGTGCAGAAAAGTCATGTATTCCTGTGTCCTTATCTTCACAAGATAAATATTATCTCTCTGCCTTTAGAAAGATGTTTTGGGATCTTTAAAAGGCAGAACCTGTACTAGTCCTTCCTATTATGTGATTATGAAAGAATGCATATAATGTGGTGCATTTATGTATAATAACAACAATAACAGCATAATGAAAATAAAATCATATTTTGCAGAACTGGAAAATGTCATTGTCAGCATTTCTTCTTAATTCATCTGACCAAAGCAGGAAGGGGGAAAAAGCCACTGTGATCTGCACACTACATGAACTATGATGAAAGGCTGTTCCCATTCTTTTTCATAGAGCTTTTATTGGATAATCATTAATGCCTCATCTTAATAACTTTTCTTCACTTTACAGTAATGTCATGTTTAGTAGGGAGTCATTCTTTGGATCAAGCCTCACAAGAAAACTTAGGTATAAACATTCAAGTAACAGTTGAGCCTTTCTCTTTTCATATTTCTTGCATGCCATTCTCTGCCTGCACTTTCTTTTTTTACTACAGTGGTTCATCTAACCCCAGAAAAAGTAAGAGGAGATAAGACTGAGAAATTACTTAAGCACAGCAAGGAAGTTGCATGATCTTACAGATATTTCATTGATCTGCTGTTCAGAAAACATTGAGTCTAGTCCTGGTTCTGCCGATGATCTACATAGAAACTAGTGCTCTTCTCTGTTTTGGTAGAATGGGAATGATGCTGACCTACTTTACAACCCATTTAAAAATCCATGGGTGAAAGATATTCTATAAGATCTAAATATCACTTCTTATGCAGTCCCAACCCTGTCAACACAAATACAGGCAGTTAATTCTGAGTTTTAGTTCAGTGGAGCAATTCCCCTGCATGTTCATTTAAAGATTGTGGTTCAGAAGGGCGAAACAAGCAGATATTTTGATCATCTTAATGTTAGAAATGTGTTTAAATATCTTACCAAACTGTGACCTGAGACGTGGGGCAAGAACTTTATCTTCCTGAAGAAGAACATAAAAATAATTAGCAGCATTTCGGAAATCTGAAAGATACACAATTGGAAATACTGATACTTTGACTAAACTGTCAAGCATTTTATTTTATCCCATGCAAACATCTTCATATCATTCAATTTTAGCTCATTGTTCTCATTCCCACCTCATACCCAAACATGAAATCATCTACAGACAACTCAGCTTTTCTAACCAAAGCTCTTCCACTTTTGGAGGGCAGCTAGAGAAGTTCCCTTTTTTTTTGGATTATTGGCCCATGCAAAATAGTTGCAAGACATTGAATTTGCAATTGGTTTGCTTCCTAGTGGTTGATACATAGAGATACATTCACTGAAAAGTAAAAAGTGGGTCAAAACCCACATGCTTTCTTTTTACATTACTAGCTGCACCCTTTGCTGAAAAACATCCATGCTTTTCTCACAAAGAAATAAAATTGGGTTATTGTCCCTGGATATGATACTGCTTATTCTTGCCCATTTCCAGTCGCTTTAGATTGCGTGTACACAAAAAAAGGGGCTGGGCAAAGGCACTTAGTGTGGATAAGGGGGGGTTCTCTTTCTGAAGGGCACCAAAGTTTGCTAAGTTGGGACTTATGCTTATGTGTCTGGGTAAATAATGTGGATGGTAGGTGAGTTTGGATGGTAGGTGAGTTTGGACATAGAATCATGCCCACATTTATATACCAATGAGAACACACACCATGAGAGAATAAAGGCATTTATTGGCTAAAAGAGGACTTTTCCAGCTCAGGTATTAGAAATTTACAAGTTTAGACCTCAAGATTCAGGGTGCAAAGTGGCTTTTAAATGAAAGCATTATTTATCAAGAAGTTGCAATCGATTGTTTTGAGGCTAAACATTTTCTGAGTTCCTCACTGTAGAATTAATATTATCTAATTTGTTTAAAAGGGAAGGCTAAAGGTTGGAAGTACTCTAGGAGTGCCAAATGTTCTCTGATTAGTATCAAGAAAACACATGGGCTCTTTGAGATCAATTGGATGTATTGACTGAGGAGTAAATTTTCAGCAGGACTCATTGCTGCTCTCAAAACATCAGCTTTGTGTTATTTTCTGTGGCGAACAGTTCAAATTAGAACACTTCAAAAAGTTTGATTCCTCAAAGCTAAGTTAACCTAAATAAATGTAGCTGCTAATGTAGTAATCTATTGGAGTAAACATGACTACTTTTTGCTTCCAATTATTTGATACCAAAAAGAAATACATCTAATGATTAGATAAATTATAAAAATATGGAAGGATTTCCTGATTATTATTACTATTTGTGAGGTTGAAAGTGCTAAATACATGGCAGGGGGCTGTGTTTGATTCACTGTTAGTATTAATTCTTTATTTTTCTTCTCATACATGTACTAATTGTTTATGAAACTCCAATGCTAGGCAAAGCACAGAGAGGAGAGTATCTGGTTTGCATGATGGGATGTAACTGCATTATATCCTTGCATGACTGTTTCTGGATCAGTTTTTCTAGTTCAGTGGTTCCCACTCTTTATATTGAGCAAGAGTAAAATGTCTGCTGCAGAAGCCAGCGATCTCCTCATCTCATTCTATATCCAGCAACCAAATTCTTCTCTCAGATGTTCCAAAATAATTCCCACTGCTGTTGGGGAGCAAGACTGAGAGCTGAATCATTCTTCAGCTGTGAAATCAGCGTCAAGCCTTCATTCCAAACTGTCTACACTGCATTCACCTTCCTCCTTTTATGATGGTCTGTATCTCCCACTGAGTTATGGAGTTCTCCTCCAGGGACTCCAGCTCAAAGACAAAGGTTTGGGAGAAAAAAGTTATTCCACCACAAGGGGAAGGTGAAGAGAAAGGTGCAGAGAAATGACTCTGCACTCTTATCAGTATTTTTAGGATGCGTTAATTCCCCTCAATTTCTAGAATTGCATTGGAAATCAGGAGGCATGTTTTTCTGAATGTAAAGAAGCTGAGTGAAGAGGTACCGCCATCCTAAGGAGAGCAAGAGCAGCTAATATCAGTAGGAGCAGTCTGAAAGACAAGCAGCAGTACATGAACCCATGGGTGGGAACCACTGTCCTAGCCACTCTCATGAAAGATGATGTGATCTGCGCATGCTTCATACTCTGAGACTGAGCCATGCGCATGCTATTTTGATCAAGGAGATTGTGTCGTGAGAACAAACATTTCCTAAGTCTTAAAAAAAAAAAGAAAATAAAATAAAAACCCCAGCAGACCCAGATTTAATCCCTTTGAAATGCAACTAAAGTCCATTGTTTCTCTGATGAAAGCTAGCCATTTATCTGGAAAAAAGCCTGGGGTTTTTTGTTTTGTATGCAGTATATTGTTGTATTCTTCATGTGAAGCTGATGAATGGTTTCCTAACTGTTCTACTGCTCTGGCTGCCTGGATTCAAACAAAATTGTCTTTATTTGTTGTATAAACATTCTGTTATGAGTCTAATTGTTTCTTTAAGGGTTAATTATCAGTATTCAATTAATGAGATATTGTTCAGTTCAGGTAGCTTTAGCTTAGCCAGAGGCTTTTTTTTTTTTAATGATTTTTAAATCTAGATTTCTCTCCAATCAATAACGAAAGACAAATTCACGCAGCTGGCAGGTCATCCCAAACAGAAACAGTTTTGAAATGCACTCTGTAGGTTGCTAACTCCCTATCAACAATAAAAAGGAATCTAAAGAACAATCTCAGACAAGACATTTAGGTTTTTAGAGAGCTTAAGATAGATAAGATGAATTTCTGCCTCTAAACCTAATATGCTGGAGCAATGAAAAGTCTTAAGAGAGTAATATTTTTTCCTAAACTGACACTTACCAAAGGAGAATGTTACCCTAGAAAGATAATTTGGATTTACTTTTGGATAATATTAATTACTTTCAATAAAAATAATAATAAAAAAGTGGATAAGATTATATACGCAACAGAAAATGTCGTAGCAGATAAGTGGCCTTTTGTGCTGAATACTGAGGAATATTTTGATTTATTTGCCTCTACAAGGAGCAGATGAAACCTTGGGCATATGAAATCTTGATGACTCTTTTTCTGAAATAGCTTCACAGCAGAGATTTCTGGCCCTGTATTGAAATAAATCGTGAGATGAATGTTTTAGATTCCTTATTTTGTCCACAGATCCTTTTTCCTATTGGTCTGACCCTTACAGATCTTTGCAATGCCTTCTTGTCCTTTGGTAAGGAAGACACTGCCTAGAAGAATTTCAAGAGGCAAACTTTGAGAGATCTGGACTCTAGTTACAGCTTATGGGTCCTTGCAGGATCTTCATAAGTTAGTTATCTTCTGTCAGCTAATTAGCACACCCTAGAATGATTATGTCTCCACTAATAGAAAATTCCACAGCATGTTGTGCATTTTAAGGCACATGCTTTGAAGGACTCAGAAAATTTCTAGAGGAAGAGTCAGAGGCCGTATGTAATGACAGCTATCTTCTTCCATTATATTACTAAATCATTTCTAATAAGCCATGGGAAACCTCTGTTTCACTATTTTTCTGCTTCTTCAGCTTTAAGATTCTCTGCTGTAAACATACTCTTCCCATTAGAACTTTTCCGCAACTAAACCAAATCTTGTGAGATTTAATGGATTACCTCAAGCCAATGGGTTGTGTGTGAGCACTTCCCACCTATGACGAAATCACCATCTGAGTTTCACTGTTAGAGTTCATCCTTTCAGAAGCTTCCTTCTCATCCTTCAAAGTCTTTCTGGAAGCCCTTGGACCAAAATGTTCAATCCTGAAATCCTAAAATATAGGAAAATAATTCCATGCTTAGAAGGTGTTGGCTACATTTCTGAAACAAAATAGTCTGCCCTTACATCTGAGATTCACCTATCGTTACTGGTCTGTTAATTGCCCCACTAGGAAAAGCTGATCTCTGCAATGAGCCTGTTGCATTTATAAAATTTTCAGTCCTAGGGGAAAATGTCTTTTACTTTATTACCACTGAACAGACCTCCTCATACTAAATTACTTTAGTTTCTTCCTTCTTGCAACTTATTTTACAGTCTTCTTCAGTCTACAGAGGCTGCCACCTTGGCAAGCATGCTTCATTGCTCTATGTCTTTTTTTTTCACGCTGAAAACCGCACAAGCTTACTCTCTCTGCATCTGGAGGCCCAGAAGTTTACATTGCTTGGCTGACTCTTTGTTGTCGCTCAACTAGATTTTTTGTGCCTTTCTTTACATTAAAATCCTATCGTGATGTCACATTCTTCTTGTTAATCCTTATCAAAATTAATTCCTCCTTCAAAGTTTGCTTTAACTACTGCTGGGACAGTAGAATTTAGTTTACCTCCTTTACCCCCAAAACGTTATACGTAAGTCAATCAGTTAACTTTAGCTGCCTTCACCGTTATTTTTCATGCCCTTTCAAAACTTGCTCAGGTTAGTTGTTTTCTTCTCCTTTATATATATCTTTCTCCATATATAATATCTAAGTGTTGGAAGAATCCTAATTTCACAGAAATGCCATGGAGTTAAAACAAATTCTTTACCTTGCAGAGCAGCTCTTCTCTCAAACATGATCTCTGAAAGTTTAGGGAAGGGATAGTTACGCAGGAAGGAGTTCACAGACTCATCCCTATCTTGTAAGAAAGCAAATCATTTGTTGGGACCCTGCATTCATCACCAGTTCAGCCTTTATAGGACCTTGGCAGATCAATCAGATCAAGACCCCAACCCACAAGCAGACATTAAGGAAACCTATTTTTAAGCAAGTATTTAAGGATTGATCAGGAGACTGTCCTCCCCATTCTGTGGTGACTAATTTACCATAGACATCAACAAGAACTATCTCATATTTTGCTACCAAGAAGGAAGCAATCCCTGATTTTTGCTATGCACACTTGTTGGCCCTCTGTATATCTTCCCCCCATGACATTAATTCTTCAGGATACTACATTAGAGTAAAGTCTGGGTAATTTTAATACCACTCACTTAGGTTGTTTTAATTCTTCACTCAAACCCATGTTTGTTTGATTCACATCACCGACTTCAGTCCTGGCATTGCTGATATATCGGCATTTTAAAACTTCCATAGTTGTACATCTCCACGTTCGTATAAGCCCATCTTAGCTGCCACTTTCACACATGCATACACATATGCATTTCGTAGGCACAATGGCAGGCCGAGTGTCTGAGGGCCGCAAAAACTTTGTCCACATTTGATTATTCTCATGTTGCCAACACAGTTCAGAAGGCCTAAAAAAATCCCACATAATCTATCTTTTATGACTGGGAAGTCCGTATTACATTATTTTCTGGGCCAAAGGTATATCAGTCAGAAACTGCTAGTACAGATAGTTGAAGATTCCAGTAATGTGTATAAAAAAGACCTGAAACAGCTGTGATCTGCAAAACTTCAACAAAGTGGGAACTTTACATGCTGTAGTTTGCAGTATTCCTGTTATGGCCGGCCCTCTTCTGAAAGCTGCAAAGTCATCATATGTGTCTTAAAATTCATCTCACCTTTATCATTATAGCACAAATATCTTAAAAACTTCTCAGTGGTGGGATAGTGTAGCAGTCAGAACTCTGAGATAGGAATACCTGCTTCTGTCGAGGAAGTTCCCCAATAACAAGAGAGCTTCCAAAGACAGATGTCATTAGAACACAAAAATAATCCACCTGATCAGGATAACTCCTTCAATAAGTTCGGTGAGTTAGACACTTCACTAGCAAGGCCTCCATCTTTACTTTTCCCCAACAGCAAGTTCAGTGGCTTCAGCTGAACAAACTGCCCAGCTAACTCTGCAGAAGCAGTTGAAGTCTCCTCCTTCTGGTCACTGCTAAAGTTTGCTCCTACAGTGGGTGTCCTCTACTCTCAGAAATCTGCCAGCTGCATTGACTTCTTCTCTCCCTCCACAACCTCCCTGCCCTACTCTCCACCTCAGAAGCTTCTCTAGACTGTGCACAATTCACCCTCACCCAGAGCTGTCCCACGCTGTAATTTCTAGGACTGGGTTAAAAAGTAGACTTTCTTCATAAGCCTTGGCCCCATAGTTTTTAAAAATATGTGCAAGTAAGCAAGTATTTAAGCAGTAAAATGAACTAGCAAATCAAATACTTATACCATCTATCCGCTACAAAGTCTTCAGAGCATGTTTAAGCTAATGCACTCACTAGCAAATAGCTTTTATGCTGCTCTTTTCAGTGGTATTAGTAGTTGCCTTTAAGACTGTTATGGTCATCAGGCTGCAAGAAAGGTCGCTTATGCTGGTAAGATACAGGTAGGTAGATACAGGTAGGCAAATGCAATTCTAGCTGTACCTTGTCACTGAAGGACAAATTGTCTTTGGTCAGTAAATCTGTAAGAGGACAGTGCAAGGAGTCATCAGAGGAACAAAATACATCACTGTATCACAATTGTATGGATGACTTCAGTTTCTCGTATAGTGAGAGATGCATGAAATTGAGTGATGGAGAGAAAGGGGTAGCCTGTTCTACCGTCTACCAAATAATTGCTTGGTGATGTCTTTCAAGTGTTTTGCTTATGATTTATTTGGTCCATAGCACATCTGAGTTTCTTTTGCTCCTGGCTATGCACATGAGTTATTCATTTAATAGCCTGCCATGGACTCGATAGTTAAATAAAGCACTGAATAGAAAAGGCCAAGCATCCTTACCGTTAGACAGTATAACTGCCTAAATAGTGATATTTGTCTTCTTAATGAAAAAATCTAATGCTTCTGACATGCTACTGGAGCAGAAGCACTGATATGTTATGTAGAGGGGATAGCAAGACCCTCTGGTAACGTTTTCAACATCGATACAAATTGCTCATAAAAATCATCTTAGCTATTGCTTACAAAGACATTGATGTATGACGGTAGCCCCAGCAGTGTCCTTATGTACAAAACATTTATTTAGCCTCTTATATGCTTAAAGCATCGTGAAAGCAAGTTACAAGTTTACAAAGGAGGAAAATGATTACTTTTGCTTATTTTGTAGCCAAAAGCTGGGTCTCTTGGATCGGGTTCGTGGTACCAATACTAAAGGAAAGCTATTTACCCCTCTGAATGTAGATGCCATTGAAGAAAGTCCTTCAAAAGAGCCTAAGAATGTTGGCTTGAATAATAAGGAGCGTTTTCGCACTGCATTCCGAATGAAAGCGTACGCTTTTTGGCAAAGCTCAGAAGGTAGCCCCTCTATGTTGATTTCTTTCTATCCACTTCCTTTTCTCCCCGTTTTACTTTGTTCTTCTGCATCTTCTGTTGAAGGTTTGTGACTCTCTGGGCCAAGAATGTCTAGTTCCTGATTTTACATGGTACATTTGGGAAAGTTCCAGAAAATTAATGCTAGAGTGCAGGCAAAATAATGCTTGAAATAAGGAAATGGCCTTCCAAAAACCAGCAACTGAGATGGTACATAGCCAGTGATAGAAGCAACTTATCTGAGCTTATTTGCTTCTCCAGCCAGTTTCCCTCCCTCTCTCCCTGAGATTGCTGCCCCGCAGCAGATTTCCTCATATGTGCTCATGAGTGTCCATGCAACATGAAGGTCATTTTTCTTCTCAGGGTCCCCAGACATTCGTTTTCCTGTTCTTATCTAATGGTATCTAAGCAGCGGTTTCTTCTTTATTGTGCCAGCTGGCCACCATGCCAGAGAACAGCCTCAGGTGTGTTGGGTGTGCTACCACAGATACAGTTTGGGGGTCCCCAGAGGGGGCTTGGTTATCCTCACCTACGGAGTTACGGGAGCTCAAGTGGTATGTGGGAGGACAAGTCAGCCCGGTTTAGCCTTAGGTAAAATAATTTTGATAAAGATTTTTCTGTAAAAGCTTCCAAAAATTGGAACTTTGAAATGCATTTGAAAAGAAGAAAATCTCCCAGTGTTTCAAAAGTGCCTGGAATTTGAGAGGAGATCCCTCAGACAATAGATGTCTTACAACACCTTTCCTGGCAGAATTTTGAATGCCCCTTTCACGAACCGATTAGAGTGAGAGGAACCTGCTAGAGATGTTCCTTTTCTAAATTACATTTATTTTACATAGTGCTTTAGTAAGACAGAGCTCCCTCTGCTAATCTTGTGATCAGATGCTCACACATCTTCTGGCCTACTTTGCAGATGCAGGAACAGGGGAACCCATGGCAGAAGACAGAGGTGACAATAATGAGTTCCTCATGGAAGATATGATCCCCACATTCAAGACAGCCATCCGAGCTGTCAGGTAAATGTCTTTGGCACTCCTCCATGCTTGCTTTGACTTTGAAAGCTGATGTTTCAGGAAATCACATCAACATGATTTTACACGATATATTATCACTGTTGCTGGTTTTTTTATAAATACAGTAGGTTAGATTATTATAGAGATATTGAAAAGCGCCAGATAGACCTTGTTTAATGTCCTTTTGCAAAATATGCAGAAAGAAAAATGTCCTTCAGTAACACTGATAATGCCATTTGTGCAAGATGAACAGCATTTCATTATAAAATAATCTTACATACAGTTTATCATTAAAATATGCTGTAAATATAGTATCTTGCCTAACTTACTGACTGTAGCATTTGTGTAAGGTTGGAATTTTCACTTAGCAGTAAACTTTCAGCTGACTCAAATATTCTTTATTTACAACTGTATGCTTGTGCAATACATTTTTCAGCTTTCACATTTTAATAGCTGCTGAGATCTCCATTTTGGTAGTCTTCAGCCTGTCACATGTGTCACCTCTAGTTTTGTATCGCAAGAGATATTCCCTAGGGTTAAAAAAATCTTAGTAAAGCTTGTTAATGTACTTAGTACATCAAGCATATGAAATTTGCTTACTGACACTGTTATTTATCCACGCAGAACTCCCTACTCTCTTCCCATGAAAAATATCCCCACTAGAAAATAAATATTCTAATTTCGTTGGAATTGTTCTTAAAGCTAGCAGTTTTTAATTTTTTGCTAGGGAGTTACTGTCTTCAAGGTGAAAGATCACAAAGGTGGAATGCCCCACACTCTATAGAGTGTTATCTTCTTTATCTTGGAAAAGCTTCAGGGAAATTGGTTCTGTACCCCAGCTAGCTTAGAAATGTTCTTAAATCATTTACAGGCATATGGATGGATGCCCCGTTATCCCTGGCTACAGTTGCATACGCTCCCAGTCCCTACAAGAGTTCTCAGCCAACCTACCCTCCTCCCCAGTTAGGTGTGGGTTGCTTCTGTCTATAATAACATTTTTAGTTTCTGGTATCACAGATTAAGCCTTGTATTACCAGAGATTATAACTTTTCAGGATGTGAGTTACAGTAATGCCTTTTGAAATTTTTTTTTTTTTGTTAACGGGTGCTCTATCATAACAACAAGTTATTTTGTGATTTAAAAATGAAAAGGTGGAAGGTTCAGTCTTTTATCCTCCAGCATAAATTTACTTCGTACTGGCTGGGCAATGGCTGAGAAAGGAAAATGCTGTGTAGATAGTCTTTATTCCACAACGTGCAGTTCTCTGTAAGCCCATTTTGCCCTCAGCAGAGCTTGCAGTTTATGAACCCATAACTGGGGACTGTTCTGAATCTGGTACCTTATTATATTCTGCATAAGCATGATATTTATTTTTTTTCATTTTTTCCTTTTCATCAGTAATCCAGGACTAAGTTATCTGAGTGATATTTACAAACAAAATAAAAGTTTGAATTGTTTTCTCTTGGTTCTTATCCAGTTGGGTGCAGGAGAACCAGTTATTAAACCAGTTTTCTCAAGCATGCTAAAAGCTATGTCCCGGAGCGTTTGCTCCTGCTGCCCAATAATGCTTCCGTCCTGCTGGAAGTTTCTTTTCTTCCTGCTCTCTCCGTAAATCTCACCTCCTTCTCTTCCCAGTACCAGCTTGCTTTCCAACACAGAATCAACATCTGTCCCATTTTCCAGCCCTACCTCCTTAAGACATACCGTTATTATTTTTGCAAAACTTCTTCTCCCGCATCCTATACAAATCAAATTGATTCATGTAATTTCCCTGTAAACTCAATCATGAGCCAAGTTTTTTTTTTTTTTTTCTTTTATGGTTTACCCAGACACTGAATGCCAATGTGAAATACTTCTTTCAGATGAAACCTCTTACTGAGTTTTCAGGCTCATGATCAAGGAGTCCTTTGAACTGAAATTTTTAACAGTATGTGGTTTTTTTTGTTTTTAGTACAGTTCTATTGTTATCACACATAGTTTGGCTAGAATTGGCATAGATAAAATTTTGAAATCTTGAACACCGAAAGCCTTCTGAGCAATAGAGTTAAATAGTAGAAAACCTGTTAAAAACATATGGGAATTATCTTTGCTAAATGAATGTTTCTGCATATTTTAAAAGGTAAAAGGGAAATTTATAACATGAATAAAAAACAGGTCAGAACTTTAATAATCCACAGCAATTGCACAGTTCAAACAATAAGAAAATGAAGCAAATCCTCAAATCCCAAGCTTAAGACACAAATAAAGGTATTCAAATGCTTTTCATTCTTTACATACATTTGTTGTCTATTTATTTGTTTAATCCACCAACATACAACCATGTGAGCTAATATATAAAAAGAAAAGAATGCAAAAAGGAAGCAAAACAGTTTTCAAGTGCTATCCCTTGCACTGGACCTTATTATAAGAACTCTGTCATTAGTTATTAAGACCTAATTATTACTATTAATAATGATATATTGCTTTTTTTTCCTCTCAAGAATGCTTTTCTTTGTCCCCACAACTTGAACCCTTGACTTATTAACTTCTACATTGTTAAGTAATTAATATTCAAAACTTTCCCCAGGTTCAAAATGCAAACCAAGTTGAAATAGTTTTGCGTTATATATACTAGAAATTAATTTACAGCAGGCTGAACCATGCCTTCAGCTTTAAAATCTCCAGTAATTTATGTTGTTCAAAATCGAGTCTCACATCTGAATTTGTAGCTTTGAACCATTTCCAGTTATAATGATAGTGCTGAGAAAAAAATGTAATGGGAGTATAATTTGGGGAGGAAAAATAGCCTATTAATTATGAAAAGCCATATTTGATATGTTTAAAAAAAGTGATATGATATTACAGATTCTTTGCTTGTAATTTATTTCCTTGTATTGAAATAACATATTCATTTTCCAAACATCCAGAATATTTCTCAGTTGTTCTATAAAATTGCAAACAATCGTTATGGAACTGATATAAGGAGCTAGTAATTATTCTGTTTATTACGCAGAATACTACAGTTTCGTCTCTATAAAAAAAAATTCAAGGAGACTTTGAGGCCTTATGATGTAAAGGATGTGATAGAGCAATACTCAGCAGGGCATCTTGATATGCTGTCCAGAATAAAATACCTTCAGGCAAGGTAAGAGCCCTCCGGGAAAAGGGGAAAATGTACAGCTGTTTTGGCATCAGAAAAGTGGAGCTGTCGTCTTTACGTACAAGACCGCTGAGAAGGCAAGTCTTTGCACAGCGTAGCTAGTTCATCAGAAAGCATTTTTTTTCCCAAAGATGGAAGGTAAGGAGGCTGCGAGCTGGGGTAACCGTGGAGGAAGAGAGCACTAGCTCATGATTAGAACAAGGAAATGGGAACCAGAAATACTGGGAATTTTCCTGGCCTTTGACTCATTATTTGATTATGCTCAAGTTGCATCCTCCCTCCCCCTTTTTACAGACAATAAAGAAAAGCAAGGGTTTCATTACATGAGCTGTTCTTTGGGCTGGATTCTCTGCGAAGCTGTGCCCTGGCGAGTCTTGTGATACAAGTCCAAAAAGGGGAGCGAAAAGGATAATAGCTGCTACCACTTCAGAATAAAGGTTTTACAACCCCTTTGCCCAGGCGCCAATAGCTCTATATGAAAAAAAAAAAAAAGAAAAAAGGAAATTCAGGACTTTGGGACTCTCCAGGTTTGATCTGCCCACCTAATAGTTTCCTCAAAGAAATAATTCATCCTGGCGTGCTTTGCAGGCGTGTCTACCCTGCAGGCAAAATGAAATTTTTGCGGCTTGCATCCAGAGCTAGCCTGAGCTAGTCATCCCCACTGGGTTACCGCGCATATGTGTGAGCTTGTGAGTCTGTGTAACTACATTCGCTCAACTTCAGCACAGTACTGCCCAAATTCCCCGGCCCTCCCAGTCACTCTGACCTGCAAAATGTCGGGCAGACGTGCCCTTGATTTCTGCCAAGAACAGGCTGAGTGAGTGCAACTCTTGTTGCCTGTTTGACCAGATTTACATTGGTTTTGCAAGGCTGCTTAGCTCCTTCCTTGGACTTTATAGTCTGTTATTTCAAAGTGTTTTTCCGTATACTGGGCTATATCTGTTTCAAGTATAAAGCACGTCCTGTTCCAGCCTCACTTTTTTTTGCTCTAGAAAAGTTAGCCTCTTTATTTAATATCACTTTTATATTCATAGGCTTTATATTACAAAACATTGTTGTTATTGTATAAACTGATCTCTGCATCACATGAGTTTAGGTTTCGATGCAGTAACATTTTCTGAGCTCAGGAAGTTGAGGAGGTCTCCTAATGTTAGAAATCCGTGTCTAAGGTTGTGTCCGCATTGTGCAATACGGCTCTGTGAGGACAACCCTTCATCTATCTCAGACTGAGCTGCTGTGTGATTTTGAGTAGCACTGTACCCAGCTCCCCTGAGCTGTGGAGGCAGTGAAGGTGCCCAGCCTGATTAGGCCTATCTTGAACTTTAGTTATGGCATTGCTTTGTGTGGTGAAGATGTATCCTGGGTAAGTCAGGGCAAGACTCCCAGCACAGCCTTAGACCTGTGATACTCAGTGTACTCAGTGCAGCATCGGGATATCAAGATTCATCAGCAGTGGAGGAGCCCCAGTGCCTCGACAGCATTTTACTCACATGCAGGAAAGGTATTTTTACAGGTTTTTGAATTGAAGGCATAGTACTGATAGGGCTGAATAGGCTGAATAAATTAACCTAATATGTAAACATATTAGGTTATGTGGATGTCTACAGGGTAGGTTTCTGCATCTGAGCAAGACAAGCTAGGTTCCTCTTATAGCTAATGGAGCTCTAGTAAGCATAATTAATGGCATTCATGGTGCGGTTCACCCCATCTTAAAGCAGATGCCTTTGTGTGGTTAGATGAAGCTCCACTAGTTTCCCCCAAACGCTCTTCACTGTGCTGACTAGCTTTCCATTGACTATAACTGGACAAAATTAGGGAGGTGAGTCCTACTCATTGTGCCTAAGGATACTGAGGTGCCAAAAGAGTTAGATGAGGCGTTGTTTGATTGCCCAGCAATGACTGGGTGCCTAGAAAGTGTCTAAGCAGCTTTGTGAGTCTTGCCTTGAGCTTTTTAAAGCTCCATTTTCAAAACTACAGAGGGCACTATGAAGCCATGCAACGTATCTGCATGGATGGTCTCCTAATACAGCTATCCATTTTGTGGACTAGAGCTGGCTGATATCTGGTCAGTCTGGTGTGTGGACTGAGTGAAAGAGGCTTGCTTGCACCTAGGCAGGTGGATATGCCAAATGAAAGAAGATAGGGATGTAGTAAAAGAGTTAGCTATACTTAATTAAATACTCCAGAGCCTACCAAACTTTATTTTCTGTTTGTATTCCAAATAAAAAAAAAATCACGTAGCTTTCCTTGTGAAACTTCATGTACAGTTATATTTTTAAAATGAAGAGAATAATTAATAGTAACAAAAATGTTGGTGATAATTAAGTAGAACAGCTGCTAGAAAGTCACTAGATTATTAGAAGAGAATCTGGCATTGCAACATTGACCTAAATCCTCATCTTCATTCTCCAGCACAAAATCTGATGGTTCCACCCAACACTGCTAGGAGTAGCTATTGCTGGAGATCTTTTGACAATCGTACCACTAATTTAGTTCCTTCATGGGAAGGTCTTGTGTTTCAAATGTCAAAGTTTGGAGACAGGGGCTACTTAGATTACCATAAGCATCCAATGCACTGATGGTGGACCTAGACTAGAACAAACATGTCATGACCCTCAGGATATTTCCAAACCTAAAAGTGCTTTCTTTTTGAATTGTTGCTAATGTTTGCTGCAGAGATCAGTAGCCGTTTCTGTTCTATTTTAGCATTTAGAGATGATCTTATACACTTGCATCATGTTGTACACTTTTCCTTTTTTTCAGAGTAGATATGATTTTTACACCTGGACCTCCATCTACTCCCAAGCATAAGAAATCCCAGAAGGGAGGAGCTTTTTCTTACCCTTCGCAACAGTCTCCCAGGTGAAATTATTCTGCTTAGTAATTTGCACAGACCAAAACAGAAATAAAATATTCATTCATACCCCAAAACAAGTACTTCATTCATCCAGGTCGTACACTGTTATACTAATGACATCAGCTGAGACGATGTGTTGCTACAAGTTACATATGTGTAAATGTCAAACCCGAATGACACTAGCTTCCCTAAGAACAATGTATGATGGAAATTTAAACGTAATTGTGTTTTAATTGTCTAGCTCAGCTTCTCTGTGGTTTGAAAAACTGATTATATATGAAATATGTACATTTGATTGCTGATATGCTGAATTTCTGAACATTCAACTACTGAAAATTAAAAGCTCAGGGTAAATCACCAACAGTAGGAATGTAAGCCACTTATCTCCTGAACTGAAAAAAAATATTTCATTATAACTCCCTCAAAATGGCCAGCATCGAGTTTTAATGATACTGCTTTTAAATCAGTGATTGATGAGAATTACTGAAAATAAATTGCAATAACAGATTTCTGGGTGTGAAAGTGGCAGCATGTTATTGCTACATTCCTAGTAGCAAGACTTCGATAATAAATGACATTTTTTTTCTCTTACTTGCAACTATCAGTCTGCCGATAAATACCTCTAAAGAGCCACAGGTACAAAACAATCAACAATCTGTCTCCAAAGCTGTTACTGCTGCTCAGAACAAATCTAACCTTACAGAAAATACATTAACTGCATTCTATTTGGTTTATCGCACCCAGCGTAAAATCTCAAAGCATGTAAACATGAAAACAGAGCTCTGCGTATATAGAAGAGGTAATGATCATTTGGAAAAAGAAGCGATTGCAAAATTTGCTTAAGCCCGTGTTAGTGATAACCCAATGTACAAAATGTGATGAATTTTATTTGCAGTTCCTGTTTTAGTAAGATATATCCACAGCTATGGATTTTTCATTCTGCCATAAAGAGAGGAGATGAATTGGACCTGTCAAAACAAAAGGTTTAGGGTATATTTGTTCTATATCATGTTAGGAACATATGCTAAAAAACTGATTTTCAAGCCTTTGCATGTAGCATTAAGATACTAATTTGAAAGACATAAATTTGAAGGAATTAGATTTCAAAACACATGTCCATCTGTAGTCCCACTACCTGCACTGTCTCAAAATTTTTCATAAACCTGACATTATTCCACCAAGTCTGAGATTAATTTCACCTTCATTTTGACCTTTTTGTTTGCTCTTGCTTTGTCTTAGTTGCTTTACATTAGTTTTGAACATAAAATAATTTTAAATTAAAAATCAGCATTTTTTTTTTTGGAATTACATAGAGTGTACCTTTCTCTTTATCCTGTTCCTATGGTAAATAACTAAGTTCAATCTTGTCTTAGAAGAGGCTCCAGTGTGCTATATTTATATTATACCAAGGTGTTACTTCTGGTTTCTTATATGTATTACTCATTATGATACAAGGACAATGGGAACACTAACAGAGTTTTAAATTCTTTATAGAAATGATCCGTATGTAGCCAAAGCATCTACAGCAGATACTGAAGACCAAAGTATGATGGGCAAATTTGTTAAAGTTGAGCGACAGGTATGTAATTTCCTGATGAAGAAACTGAGGCATTTATGTGAGTGTACAGAAACCTGACTTTATGTGTCCCTATATCAAATCCAAAACACTGTAACTGCATACCAGGTTCTTTTCTGGTGTAAACTCACTTGAATTTGGTTAGAAAAGCAAAAGTTTACTTTCTACTATCTTTTTTA